GGTTGTTTCTATTTGTTCTTCCCCCCCCCCCCCCTTCTGTACATTTCTCATTCTTGTACATTTTATTTTACTCCACCTAATTAGGTCAGTATGTCAGAATATGCTTTCCCAGTTATTCTCATTCTGTTTGTACGGCCTAAATGACAAATTGTTTAATTGCTTATCTTTTTAATATCATGCAGCCACCCATTTTTCTTTGCATATTTGTTATTACTCAATTAGGTTCTAGTGTCTTTATGTAAGCATACATTGTTTGGTATTGCAGTTTTTAGTTGAAATCATTTTTAAGGCTTTCACATTTTTATAAGCTTGTTTTGTTTTTCCATATTCCATAACCTAAAATGTGTACGCTGGTCACCAGAACTGTGTGTATCAATGCTATTAGTCTTATATTAATTAAAGTGACACTAAACTCAGGAGTTAAATCTTAAAAATGCATTCAAGTACCTTCACTATTAACAAAAATGTATCTTATTTGTGTATCACTCAGTTGTAGATCCTCAAATCATCTCTGAATTGGTGCTGACACTGTCCTTGCTTCTGGAGGGTGGCTACTTTTGTTCCCCATGAGCTTGCTCCTGTGGTGCACTACAATCTCAATACAAATAAGAAATCTAAACATAAGCTTGTAGTCCATCACAGGATGTGTTTATTTGTTCATCAGTTTTCATTTTTTGTAGCATGTACAGAAATTACCTGGTAATCTTGGCAGAAATGCAGTGTCCTTGTCACTTCCCGTGAGATCTGGAAGCAAAAACAATTTTATCTTTGTGTTATAGACTACTAATTCCACCACCTATATAATAGAGAAGGGGAAAGGCAGTTGTATTTGAAGTCCAGCTAGGTGGAAACCATGGCTCTTTCCATAGGTGGAGTGGAGGAGTGAGTGTAGCCACCCAGGTGAAGGAAGTATGTTATTCACAGGATTACCATGTAAAATGAAAGGAAAAAACATGAGAAAAGAAAACTAATGCAGCCACTATATCTAAGAACTGGTAAGCTGCATTATATGTTTAGATATGCTTTAACAGTTGCTGAGCTAAGATATCAGCTATGCAAGAAGTGTTTAACATTTTTTAAAAGTCAGCAAATCCATAGACTTTGTAAGAAGGAGTAGTAAAGTGCAAAGTTTGTGTAGCACTTCAAAGCAGCTAGAAGAGCCCGACTATGTAATAAGCTAATATAGCTACTCCAAGTACATATTGTATATATGCAGGGCTTTAAAAATTTGGCGCTGTCTCACCAGTCAGTCAAAAATTTCACCAGTCAGCATGACCGGATTATAGCCTTGCAATATATGTTAAAACATTTTGGGGACAGATAGAGGTTTCTTTTGTGACCCCACGGGGGGGTTATTTTTTTTTACTATATAATGAAAAAAGTACCATAAATATATTTAAAAAAAAGTTTCCCTACGTTATGTTATAAAACATTTATTCTTACCCATATACAATTATTTACAAATTATACGTAGAAAAAAAGGTTTAAAATGTTTAAGGTTTAACTCAAACCAATCTTACCTGTTTTTTCTAAAGATGTTGGTAAGAATATACATTCCATAACAAGATGCACAGTGCAATAACAGCAATCAAATTTCAGGTTACCTCATCTATTCTTTGGGGGAATTTATCAAAACTAGAGCAGAGAGAATCTGTAGCAGTTGTTCTTAATAACCAGTCAGCTTCTCTCTTACATTTTAAAAGCTTAACTGAACGTACTGAAGAAGAAGCTGATTGGTTGCTATGGACAATTGCTCCAAATTCTGTCTGCTCCACTTTTGATAAATTCCCCTCATTTTATGTAAAGAGCCATAGTTGATTGCATTTTGCATATAGCTATTTCACTGTGCAATTTGCTTATAAATAAGCCACTTTGTTGGCTACAGTGAAGTTTTTTGGGTACGAAAGGGATGCAAAAAGCTCAGGGGCCAGGTAGTAAATGCAAAAAGAAATAAAACACTAGTGTCTGATATTTTTTAACCTGTTCTGCTCTTGTCCCCGTGCATGCGTCAAGTCTACTCATGTGTCTGTCACCGCCAGTGCACTAGGATCTCAGTAGGGCTTCAACCAACTAATCAATAATAATCGATAATGAGAATAGTTGTCAACTATTCTGATGATTTGATTTGTTGGTTGGATCCCCTAGCTCTCTCCTCCACGCTGGGAGGAGGGCACAGCAGGCAGTGTGTGGGTGCAATAGCCAGCCTGCTGTTGGCTATTGCAATTTGAAATGGCCAATAGCAGGCTGGCTATTGCCCCAGCCCACTACCTACTGTATTTACATTCAGCTGCCGTCTGCGGAATCTTGCCACTGGAAGCTGTCATTCCCTGGTTCAAGCTATTTAAGCGCCATGTGCTTACAATACAGTTTTTCTAAAAAAAAATAATTTTTTTTTAATAAAAGGTGGGGAAAAAGCCATTTTTAGTTCTGGCCTGACTAATTCTGCTGCGGGAGGTGCATTGCAGTGCCATTCATTTCTACGGCACCCCAAATGCGTCTCCCACCCACAGTGTGACCACCCGCACTGGAACGTGCGATACTGCAATGCCGCATGTTCCAGTGCAGAGCGATTGCAAAAAATTGTGCATGCAGTTTTGTTCTGAAGTAAACTTTATGTTTGTAACACTGCATTTGTGTATTTCATTTTAAATTAAGGATAGTATTTATTTTAAAAAAATGTGTTCGATTATTCGAACAATTAGTTGGCCAACTAATCGATTTATTAAAATAATTATTAGTTGCAGCCCTAGATCTCAGGTGAAAAGGAGGGAGAGGAACAATCATGGAATTCTGGATCTTGCAAATGAATTCTAAGGAGTATAACGCAGTATGCTAAACAATTACTGCAGGTGTATCTTCCTGGTGCATATATTGTAAATTACAGATATTGATTCACCTGCAGCGAATATTTGATGAATGTCACTGCTTTATAAATATGCCCCTAAAAGAATTAATTAAACAAGTCAGACCAAGGGAGTTTATTCATAGCCCTTTAAATTTTGCCTGCATGGTATGAGGCAGATATGTACTAGTATAACATCTGCTTTATGAATCTGTATGGCAAGTAAGTAAAGTTATGTGCCTAGTGTGGTTGCATGAGCGCAGCCACATCACAAGAATTGAATGAGTTAACTGCAGCTTTCTTCTCTGAGGAGGATCTGAGGGCCCCACACAGATCTTCAGCAAGCATCCATTAGTGACATATACACTGGAAGCCATCACAGAGAGACTACATATGGAGGCTTCAGTTGTGCTCATTGATGTGGACATGCATCTCCTACAATGTGCACAAAACTTTTAAATCTTCCATATTTCCATTTAACACCACATACTGTATGTGTATTTATAGAATCATTATATTAGCAGGTTATCCTTCAGTTGACATGTAATGTTCAATTTTTATTTACCCCCTTTGGACCCCTTTCACACAGCGTTCTGATCGGGTCAGTTTTTCAGGCAGATCTATTTGAAACTCAATGATACTATATGGGCAGACATGCATCAGTTTACATCTAATATCCCTAACCGCATCTAGATCTCGGAAAAAAAAACAGAACAGAGTTCCATTTTGGCAGGCCTGATCATGATGGATCGGGATATTCTGATGTATCTACAGATGCATGTCCAATTAAAGCTAACTCCCCATACACCTAACATGGGTCTGTACAGCGATGGAGGAAAAAACCGAATGAACACGGATATCACAAGAGTGGCATCTATTCTGTTCTGCTCCATTCAGCTGAGGATTTGTGCACGGATTCTCTGCTGATCAGACCAGACTGCACCCACGTAAACGGGGCCTTAACTCATTGGAATCCAGAGTATCAAGAACTGTTTTAAAGCAGAGAACTGACACAAATCTTGAAGCAGCTTCAGTGTAAGCTTGCTATTTTCTCAGCCAAAGAACTCTGTATAGTTCTAAGCATCCAGCGGCTGTAGGAGAAAGTTCGAATTTGTAGTTAGGGATGTGGGGGGTTGTTTTCGGTGTTAAGGAAACAAATGTTGGCATTCAAACAGTTTAATTACATTCCATGAGTAAACAATTTTACAAGCAAGCCAGCTGTTTTTGTTAAGCAAAGTATACAGTCTATTGCTGTGTGTAATGTTTACCATTACTCATCTTTCTTTTTCTCTCTTTTGGTATGTAGATGGCAGTCACCACTTTTTGAATAAAATCTGCAGGCCATGAGGTTGTAAAGATAATTGATATCTTTCCATCTGTTTTCTCCAGCGAGGCATTGTCAAAATGATTGGAAAACTAAAGCAAAACTTGCTGCTTGCATGCCTTGTAATAAGCTCAGTGACTGTGTTCTACCTAGGACAACATGCAATGGAGTGCCACCATCGGATAGAGGAACGCAGTCAGCCAGTCAAAATGGAAATTCCCAAAGCAACATTAAGAACTGAGCAGAAGGTGAACACTAGCTTTCCATATAATAAGGACATGCCATTAATATTTATTGGGGGAGTGCCTCGCAGTGGAACTACACTCATGCGTGCCATGCTTGATGCCCATCCTGAGATTAGGTGCGGAGAAGAAACCAGGGTTATCCCTCGGATTCTGGCTGTCAAGCAGATGTGGGCACGATCAAGCAAAGAAAAACTTCGCCTAGACGAAGCTGGTGTAACAGATGAAGTTCTGGACTCAGCCATGCAGGCTTTTTTACTGGAAATAATAGTTAAGCATGGAGAACCAGCACCTTATTTGTGTAATAAAGATCCGTTTGCTTTAAAATCTTTATCGTACCTAGCCAAAATATTCCCGAATGCCAAATTTCTTCTCATGGTGAGAGATGGACGTGCTTCAGTGCACTCTATGATTTCTAGAAAAGTTACTATTGCTGGATTTGATCTCAACAGCTACAGAGACTGTTTAACCAAGTGGAACCGTGCTATAGAAACAATGTATAATCAGTGCATGGAAGTGGGCTATGATAGGTGCATGTTAGTACATTATGAACAGCTGGTTTTACATCCAGAACGATGGATGAGAACATTGTTGAAGTTCCTCACGATTCCATGGAATGATGCTGTACTACATCATGAAGATATGATTGGCAAAGCTGGAGGTGTGTCCCTGTCCAAGTAAGTAAATTATACCAACTTTCTGTGTTGTTTTAGGGCTGTCATGGACTCTTCCAGGCTTAAAGTATTGGGAGAGTGAAATATACTCTTCTCAATATTTAGAACTTGCATGGGACACATGCTAGCCCTATATACTAAGAGCTGTGTGTTGATATAACAGCTGATTGATCAGCTCACAGTTACCCCCCTTGCAGAGAGAAATGACTGTCAGTCACCACCCCTCCAGGGATTCCCCCCTTCCCTTATTATGGGATCTTTCCCAGCTGCAGTGTGGCTTTGCTCTGTAAGCGTATATCGGGCAGAAGCCCACTATGTGCTGACTTGGGGTCAAAGGAGTACATTAGTAAACATACTCCTGTGACTCAAAAAATAAGTAAAGCTAAAAAAAAAAAAAAGGTTTGGCTTTACTGCTCTTTCCTAAGGTACTTTAAGAATGGGGGATGGCATTGACATCTTATTATTTTATTATTAAGTCATATGGCAGCCTCAGAATTATTTTCTAATTGTTGTTATAATAAAACTAGAATAAATAGCTTATTGATTGACTAAAATCGGTAACGTCAGTAATGTTGAGTAAAGATTAATACCCTTTAGTTAAGCTGAGTTATATGGCTTATGATATACTTTATAAGCTCTAAGGGTATCTTAAGAGGTGGGCAATAAAACAAACGCTAACAGAAAATCTATGCTTTATTAAGTGCTCATTGGTGTTCTCTATGTCGGTCAGCCAAGTGGATTTCATTTATGAAAGCTGAAGGAAAGGAAATTGGAGGCTTTATCAACCTGTTTTCACCTTTTATTTTTCCATTTCTAGCTTGAAGATTGAAACAGCCATCCTGCTGGTTTTTGCAGCTGTCCTTTTTAAAGTTTCCTTTAGTTTATTGTTTTGAAAGGGAGCTTTGCAAGCGCAAATGACATAAAGGGAACAGTCAATTGCCATAGTACGATAATAATGTCAGCCAATGAGAGGTCACCATTCATAAGTTGAAAGCATTTGGAATTATAAAATTTTCTGAGTGGTTGATGTGGTCTACTGTTTTGCAATTTGCTCTTAGCAAAATACCTAGAAGACCACTAGCTATGGTCTTTGCATTTTATTTTTGCTAATTTGTAGGTATGACTAGGGACAGCAATGATGAGCCTGGTACATTTGAATGAAATGTGTGCATTAAGAAGCATGAGATAATCACAAAGATTAGTAGTGCAAGAGACATGAGTCTAAGAGACTGGCATTTATCAGGGGCACTGGCATTCAAACCACCTATTAACATTGCAGCCCATGGAATCTTACATCATAGTCTCTGTATAGTTATGTGCTTCTAAGAATGTCAATGTAACCTTTAAAATCCAACTTTCTTCTTCACATCTGTCAAAGGTGAAATATAAGTTTAAGTGCAAGACTAGAATTTTATTAATGTGCATAAAGGCTGAACCGGAGACATTTTTGAAATACAGCCCTAAAACGTAAATGAATCCCTTTGCTTTATTGATTGCTGCTGGATGGCAGAGGGATGGTCATAGATACTGTGACAGTACAGGAAAATCCAGTGGGCCACAATATATAACATTATAAATGCCTTTTGCAGTGGAATTTTGCCTATTACCTGATGTGTTAATTTTAAAAAGGAATACTACAGGCAAACGTGCATTTAATAAATCAAGTATCCTATTTGGAAGGGTGTGCAAAGAGCAATGATGATGTGCAAATCGGTATTACATGTATCAGCCAGTCACATTTTAGATGAGGGATAATGCAGTTTGCAATTTTTTTTTATCATTGCTGTTTGCACTGCATTATTCAATGTGTCTGTATGTTTTATTTTATTTTAAAAATCTGGAGTTCTGCTTTAATAGAGGAAAATGTAAAGCGCAAAAACGACATTCCTTGAAGTACACAATCTGTTTTGTTAATACTATTGTTGTCTATTGTTAATACTATTGTTGTCTAACATATGGTTTGTCATTATGTTATTGTGGTTAGGTTATTATAAGATAATTTCTTCTTTCAGCTGTGGGTAATACAGGCACATTTATCTCCTCCAGCTTTTATAAAAAATCTAACTAAGGTAATGTGTCTTTTTCAGTGTTTTTGAAGGAAATAAAAAAAGTGTTTATACACTAAGCCCTTCTACTTAAGACACAGTTACATTTTGACATGTTTTACTGAGCCATTGGGGCTATATGAGATGTGCTACATGGTAAAAACGCAGTGCTCTTGGGGTAGCCATAATGGTTATTCCTATTCCTGGAAGCCTAATGTGACAAAAGTTGGGCAGTTAGGGTTACCCTGGCAAGTGAGCGCAGTTATGTATTCATTAAAAATCATTTAATGTAGTATGTGATGATTGCACAATACACCTAGCATGCATTACCATGTCTTAGGTGCAATGCCATTCAACTGAATGGCACTCCAACACAACTCTTGGCTGTCATGCACTGCAATACAGAGTAACACGCAGTTCCACCATACCGTGTGTTGAGGTGCAGTGAAAAGAAGTGCATGCATGGTGGCCAGGAGGTGCATTGGAATCTAATTTAAATGAATGGCAATGTAGCGCACCTAGTGCATGGTGTGTTCTGCGATAGCATGCATTAATTGCACAGTATTGTGGGGTTATCGCAACACTTTGGTTTGAATGGGCTCTATGGGTGTAAGTATGGTCCAGGTCCAGTATTTTCAGCATGAAGTTGGAATGAGGAACACAGAGACATGACCTTTAACGTAGCAGTGTAATTTGTGAATGTGCCCTATGAGTGAAAGTAAGGCTCAAGAGGTCAGTATTTTTTTTGGAAGTTGGTATCAGGAATACAGAGACATGACCTCAAACTAGAAAGTATAATGTTACTGAAAGAGTAGTGGATGTTTGGAACAGACTTCCAGCAAAGGTAGTGAATCAATAAAATGTAAGTAATTTAACCACCTTACTACCACACCATTGTAAAGAAAATGGCTTGTAGGTGTCTCAATTTTCTGGAATGCTGTTTATAAATGGCGCTGCAGAAAGCTTGCACAGCCAGTCAGTATGCCCTTTAAATGCCTGTGATCAAGCTGTCATTAGACAGCACAGATCACAGGCAAAATGTATTGGCCAATTAGAGTGGCTCTGTACCTTGTGATTACTGTGACCAATCACAACAGTCACAAGTGTAAATCTTGTATAGTAGATAAACTCTCTCTCTCTCCCCTCGCTTTATGAGAGAGGGAGAGCCAGGCATGCTTGGGATAAACATAGGTGTATCCTTAGACAAAAATGTTAAAAAATGTCTTCTATATTTTTAGATTTATCTTTTTAAAACGCAGTCCTTGTGGATAAAATATTTTACATGGTTATAATGATAAAAGATGAGAAATCAGGGACAATGGTGTGTTTAGGAAGAGTTGAGGTAAGGTCCTTGGAGCCAGTGTGGCCTTTGGAATAGAAAAAACAGGAGAGTCACAAATGAGCAGTTTATTGTACTAGAAAAGCAGCTGAAGAACGGATCCATGAACTTCAGCCTATGCTGTTAACAGTATTTTGCCAACACCTGCCTACAACACTGCACAGACCTGTGTTTATTTGGCAAGTTTATCTGTGGTATTTTACACTTCCTTATGAAACAGCTAATGGCACTGTTACAACATTCTTCAGCAGTTTACAAGTGTTACAAGTATGCAGTTTTACTGCGCTTAATCATCTGTTAATTGATGTTCAGTGCACGTCCCACTTTTAGGGCTGAGATAAATGGAAAGCACCTTTCTGTGCTATTATCAACATCTGGTCATATGGTACATTCACACCAGTGGTTGCGCTACAATCCACAGGTGTGTGTTAGCAGTCACAGTGCCGATGTGCCAATCCCTGTTTTTTACATTTTTTTTTGTCAGCACTTTATTGGAATGTCATGAGTGACTTTTCCTTAGATTCTATGGGCGCAGCATGGTGTGCTGCCCTGGAACTTGTATGCAGCCTGTAAGTTAGACATTGAAAATTCCAGCATACGGGTTTTAACATAATAATGCTAGACCCTGTTTATAAAATGAAACGGAAAGACAGGTTTGAAATTTGCGCTAAGCACTGTGTACTTAAAGTAACAACTGCTGCATTAGGCATGTGACGGATCTACTTTAACTCTTCATGGTGGCCTGGTATCTGGTCTTTTTCAAGCCCTAACTGTTATGCCTTAATTATGGCTGCAACCAACTAATCGACTAATTGATAATGAGAATAGTTGCCAGTGATTCTCATTATTGATTAGTTGGTCTGGGTTCCCTAGTTCACTCCTCCACACAGGGAACCCTCTGAGCCTCGTTGCTCCCAGACCCCTGCAGCCGGTGCCCAGTGGTGAGGAGAGCGCCACCAAACCATAATATCTGTTTACTATCGCCTCAATTTATGAATGAACAGGAAGGTATATCCCGAAACAGTGAAAAAAATAAAAATTATTTGAAAAAATGTAAAAACATAGTAAAAAAGAAAAAAAACAAAGCCCCCCCCCCCCATTATTAATAAATAAATAAAAAAGGTGGTAAAAGTAATTTTTGGTTTCGGGCTGACATTCTGGTGCGATCACCCGCATCGGAACGTGCGGTAGCGCAATGCCCTGCGTTTCAGTGTGGTGCAATTGCAAAAAATTGTGCATGCCATTTTTTTATACTGAAGTACAGTTTGTAACACTCCATGTGTATTTTATTTTAAATTACAGATGCTATTTAATTTTTAAAAAAAATCAGATTAATTGATTCATGGGGAAAAAAAAAATCGGCCAACTAATCGATTATGAAAATAATAGTTAGTTGCCCTATTTAAAATAGAACTGAAGCCCAAAATGTTTTTTGTATTTTTGGTAAAGAGTAAGGGAGGACTATAATCCCTGTCAGCTTTTAAGCCATCTGTGTCCCATTGGAGAGATTTCGCATTACTTCCTGTTTGGTAGCCACAGCAGGAAGTGAGAGGAAATCCCTCCAAAGTTAGGGAAGTGCCTGGTGGTCAGAAGGGTCACCAGAACTAGTTGTCCCCATC